AAGTAATATTTACAAAGTAAATAAAAACTTTTTTGTCTAAAAATATTTGAAACTTGTTTTAAATGTCATCGCCAGTTTTAGTTTTTCTTTAAACAGCTGTTTAGCGAACAGATTTGGAAGTGCTGTTGTTTGATGTGTTGTTTTCAGTAAAGATATAGTGATAAACAGAAAAAAACTTGAAAAAAGTTGGAGATAAAACTTCTGTTATCAGTTATAAAAGTTGGAAATAAAATTTACCTTTTTTTACTTTTTTTTTTTAATTTTACTTTATAGTGTTTAACAGTTGTTATTGATGTAGACAAAAAAAAAAGTCTAAAACTAAAATATTACATTTTTGGCATTGCTCAAACAGCTTTTCCCTTTTTTTGAAGTAGAATTCATTGTTCATTAAATTTATCTGCATTTTCTGTCTGAAATTTTTGTAGTAGAATGCTAAATTTTATCCTGTTTTTATCAGTCACTTGAGACAATTCAATTTTTTTTCATCATCTTTTTCAACCAATTTATTTTTCAGCTCAACCAGTGTATGACAAATAAAAAAATTCTGTTTTGTTGACATATTTGAGCGAGGTTGAAAAGGTGTGGTAAAATCTTATAAGCTCAAAAAAAAATAAATAAATTACTTTTTCTGCTTTTGACTTTTATTTTTTTTTAAATAAAACACTTTTTCTACTTTTAAACTTTATTTCTTTCTTCTGTTGTAAAAAAAAAAAAAAAATTTGAAGCTTTTTTGAGAGAAGAAGTAAATATTAGTTTTTAAACCTTTGACCACATTCTGAACTTTTCAGCTGACAGACAATTTGAATTTGGCATTAAACATCTCAAATATACAGCTTTAATTTCAAACATTTTTATGGCAAAATATGATTGTTGAAGCTTTGAAAAAAAAGTATAAAAAAAGCCAAAAAAAAAAAAATTCACTGTACCAATTCTTGTATAATTTGCAATGCTGAATAGATGATAAATTTTAAGATAGTTGATTCACCTGGTTGCTATCAGGAAGTAACGTTTTGAATGGTGAACATCGTTTCGTCAGAATTGCTCTTATATCCATAACTGTCTCTTCGTGAATCAGTAATTAGTGGTAAACATTGTATTAAAACTATTTTTTTCTCTCAGACTTTTTTTTTTTAAAACAGTATACATACAGCCAATCAGAAAAAAAAAAGTCAGACATATGTATATCCGCGATTATTTTGGCTTGGAATAAAGTTATGAAAGTACTAAACGTTGATAACTGTCGAGTTACTTGTTCTTTTTGTCCTTGTTGCTTTTTTGTCTCCTTTATTGATGCGGCTTATGTAAACAGTATATTAGCCTTAAGTTTTAAGCGTTATAATGCAGAATAAACAAATTGAAGAGATACACAACTCAACGGTCTCAAATTATTCGTTATCAAAGAAAAAAGAAGAAACAGATGAATAGAGCATCAAGTCATAGGATCACTGAGAGCCACCAATTTAATCCAACAGATTCCAAACTGATTGAATTAAAGATGGTGGTGATTTGTTGAGAAGTTATTAGAAGAAAGAAAAAAAATTTACAGAAGAAAAAAATAATAGAAAAGTGAAGAAGAAACAAATTCAACCAGAGACAAAAGATAGCACGATAGGTGGACCAGCAGTATATACATTTACTTGACTACTACTTTCTGCTTTCGTATGGATGTCACTTGCAGAGCAAGAAAACAAAAAGGTAAGATGAAGAGCATAAGAAATATGCAACAAAATACACAGAGATCAAGTACTTTTTTTTTTTGCTTATTGCTGTTATTACAGTTCTCATTTTCTTTACACTGCGCATCTATAGACTTGTCAGAAACACTAAGATTTCCTATCAGTTTTATCGACTTCTTGAAAAAGTTAATCTGGCACTTCGTATGAGGAAAAGCGTCCATAACGGATTGCTCTTGACAGCATAGTTTGTTTTTGATGGCGGACAGCAACTGGCGTTATAAAATTGTAACAGATCCCTCAACTGTCGTCTGCCTCGGTTTTTTTGTTGATTTGTTGGAGTTGACAACTGATGATGAGACTTTTCATATACCTCTTTACTTTTCTAAAAAGAACAGTCCTTTATTGCGGTTTCCATACTGTTCCGTAGACAAATGTTCGATGCTTCATGCTTTAGAGTCACATAAAACGTTTAGAATTTCACTCTTCCAACAGTGATAATTTGAGGAAAAAATGAGCAATGGAATTGAGTGCTTGCTAAAAATGTGATAACCAGAAATTGCTAACAATATCTGGACTGATTTTACTCCTTAAATTAACAAAGAGCGGAAATGCTGTCGTGAAATCTACGTAAGGTTGCAAAAAATAAATATATATAAAAAGTAATCAATTCCACTCTACCTTATTCATTCGATAATTACGAAACGGTGAAACGGAATAAGTATTACGCAGTTTACAGCGGCTTGACACTGTCGGTTGCTGTTGAATTGTGGTTGTATTATTAGTGTTGTTACAGACTTTCATCGCAGACAACCTTCGGATTAGTGCCGTGTTTTCGTCAAGTCGTTCTTCTGCACTAACCTCATAGACATCTTCCACTTTTCGGAAGTCAGAACAATTACCAGCAGTTGTACGATGGCAACTGTTCAATGCGTTTCTTGAAGTTATCCTTCGAAAAATTATTTTCAAATGTTAAGATTTCAACCAAAAATTGAGTAAATAAGTACAGAAAAAAGGTATATAAATAAGAAAATTACCAAAGTTGATTATATAACTGCATTTTAAAATATTTGTAGCTTTCTTTGTTATGAATAGAGCTTAAAAATTCAACGCTTATTGCCAGAAAATCTGCAAATAAGAAAAAATGGTAAAGAAACAGTTAAAATTCATTAAATAACAGTTACAATTATTTCTTCTTAATTAGCTCAACAGTATCTGTTGCTTACTAAATTTTTACAAGATCAGTTTTTTTTCACTCCAATGTTGATATATGTTTTTAAAAAAGTAATGTTTCCTACCGATCAGTGAAACTACGGTGAAATAAATATATCGCCAAAATGTTCCAAAATTATTTGTTAATGAATTTATAGGCAACTATTTTTTTTCTTTTAATCTTGTCAATTAAAGAAATAACATCTAGGTTTCACCCTCTGTCTCACTCCCCAGAAAAAAAAAATATATATATATATATAAGTCAAAATATAGGTAGATGAAAAAAAGAAGCAGTCATACTTAGAGCTGAAAACCAGGTTACAAGACAATAGGTGACCACCAGAAGGCATAGTTGACGAAATTGTGATAGTACAAGATGTCCGGTTAGTTCACTGAATATCTTCCGTCCACCAATGTCATCTGTACAGCACAGAGTTGTTGCTGTTGTTGTTGTTGTTGTTGGCCGACTTGGTAACGTATGTCTTCCACGTTGTTGATGTTCCTGTTGCTGTTGTTGTTGATGTTGTTGGCGATCATCATTGAAGTCAATTTCTTGAACTGTTACATCACGGTTCTTCAGAATTTTGAGATGCATAATAACAGTAATATTGGTAGTAGTAGCAGTAGAAGTAGCAGCAGCAGCAGCACCAGTTATAGTAGTTGCTGTTGTTGCTGTTGTTGTTGTTGTTGTGGTTAGATTTCAGTTTTAGATCAGCGTATCATTCAACCGTAGACAAATATACTGTTGGATACATTAAAAGCAGTGGCAACTGTTGCCCTATGTATTTGTGTGATAAACGCGGTAACATAAAAAAAAAAGGAAAGGCAAGAAAAGAAGGAAAAAATAGGTAAAGTAAAGAAAAGTGGAAAATTTTTTCTTTTTTTTTTTTGGTAAAAGTAAATGTGAAACTAAAGAAAAGAAATGACAGAAAAAAAAAAAAAGGCGAAGAATAAGAAGATATGTGTATAATAATTCAATAGGTCATCAATTATATAAGTGGTTTGT